CCGATTCCGCATTTCTACACATTAAGACGAAGAGAATGAGTGGTCGAACTTGAAAATCGGACAACTTTGATTTTTCGACCCCAAAAAATGGCAAGTGGTACCCCTTTCCATTTTTTTTAGCCAAAAAATAAAAGTTCTCCGATTTTCAAGTTTGACCACTCATTCTCTTCGTCTTGATGTGTAGAAATGCGGAATCCAGACACCGCCCAAGAAAATTCACTTTAACACCCTTAAAAGAGGGTAAGACTGGATACACACTAAAAATCATCATCCCCTTGACTTTAAACCCCTATAACTCATGAACGGACAGCCCAATAACTGTTTTTAGAGACGTTTTAGAAACATTAAAATCTGAGCTATCTAACGATATCCATAAATTTATTAAAAAAAATTTATTTCACCCTTAAAATCACTAAAATATAAAAAAAAAACACATTTTTTTGGGAGTTTGCCAACTATTTTGGCAATTTTAAGGGTGAAATAAATTTTTTAAACGTTTTTCACGGATATGTATCTTTAGCTTAGATTCTGAAGTTTTCATATGGCTCCTTAAAATCATTATTAGATGACTTGTATGGGAGTTATAGAGGCCCAATGTCGCAGAGCAGACAATTTTTTAACCGTACTTGGACTTTGGGCCTCTATAACTCCCATACAAGTCATCTAATAATGATTTTAAGGAGCCATATGAAAACTTCAGAATCTAAGCTAAAGATACATATCCGTGAAAAACGTTTAAAAAATTTATTTCACCCTTAAAATTGCCAAAATAGTTGGCAAACTCCCAAAAAAATGTGTTTTTTTTTTATATTTTAGTGATTTTAAGGGTGAAATAAATTTTTTTTAATAAATTTATGGATATCGTTAGATAGCTCAGATTTTAATGTTTCTAAAACGTCTCTAAAAACAGTTATTGGGCTGTCCGTTCATGAGTTATAGGGGTTTAAAGTCAAGGGGATGATGATTTTTAGTGTGTATCCAGTCTTACCCTCTTTTAAGGGTGTTAAAGTGAATTTTCTTGGGCGGTGTCTGGATTCCGCATTTCTACACATCAAGACGAAGAGAATGAGTGGTCAAACTTGAAAATCGGAGAACTTTTATTTTTTGGCAAAAAAAAATGGAAAGGGGTACCACTTGCCATTTTTTGGGGTCGAAAAATCAAAGTTGTCCGATTTTCAAGTTCGACCACTCATTCTCTTCGTCTTAATGTGTAGAAATGCGGAATCGGGTCAAACATATAAAAAATCCACTTTTTCACTCCTAAAATGGGGTAAAACGGGAACTTGCTTTAATTTTAGCATCAATTATCCTCCAATTATGATTTTAACTATATCGATTTTTTCCCTTTCGTCAAGATCTTTCATATGAGCCCTCAATCAACCTTGTAGCATTATTAGTATAGAAGTTAAGCTCATTTTTATGTTTTACAGTTTCTCGCCAATATATCATTATTCCATGAATTTCATTATACATATATATTGTTTTTGCAATTAAAAAACATTTAAAGTACATTTGGAGTAGGTAGAAAAAATTTTCAAAAAAAAAAAATTTTGCTCCCTAAACGTTCCCCATAATCCCACGAGGGGAACGTCGGGGAACCTTTGTGGAACGAAATTTTTATACGGGTAATATTTCATTCCGAAAAATCTTTTTTTACAATATTCTTACAAATTTGTTGTTTGTGGTCTATAATAAATAAAAGTACCTATCTAAATTACAACATTACTCTACAATAATAAATAACAATTCACCATTATATAATAATTATAAAATAACTTCAGGAAGTTTATCTTGGCTTCCGCACTGTAATCCCTTCTCTATTATTTTAACAATAATTTTCGACGATTCCAACAAGTTAAAAAAAATGCCAAAATACCTTGGTTGGACTCGATTCTTTTTCATGAAGAGACAACATTCAGCCCTAGATGGTGCACTTCATGATTATTCCTTTTTTTTCATTAGTTACTTATCAATAAATACTAATTACTCACCACGATAAGTTTGATTTAGATAGTAACATAATTATAATATATTAATGTTATAAATTTTAATCATAAATAGTGTTGTTTCCTTGACATTTTCATCTCCCAATTTCTGCTTCTAATTTTCTTTATCCCAACGTAGAGGTTGTCGTGTCTGTTCTGTGGAAATTCTTGTGCAACCACTGAAATAACCGGTTTCCATTTGTATAGCGGGCGTATGATATAATTCGATAGAAGCCACTCATTCGTGTCTATATTATGGAATAACGATAATATATAAAGAAGAATTTAACGAGGAATCATGCTTCGATTGACTGTTTCCACTTAATAGTATCATAAATGACAAATATACGATTTATATAATTATATCTTCACAAGCTATTGTATTTATTATTAGATTGTTTAAAAGACACTCGTAAAAAAATAGTCTTCTAGGTTGTTACAGTTATACAATTGCAACATCCTTGAGCTACTACTGAAACCTTGATTAGTGATAGTCTAATTCAACACATCATTGTCATACTTTTTCAATAATTAACAATTTTAATTATATCATTATAATTTTATATTTTTCAGATCTTAGATTTTTTCTTACAATTTATTATTCTATTAAAACAATTCATTAGTTAGAAAATGATATTATTCTCCATTGCACATATTTTTAAAACCAGATTGATCATTTTCCCTCTTGCAAGGTTCAATGAAATAGTGGCTTATAGGATGCTCTCTTGTAAATTATTGGTGCTGGTTGAATTTCATGCTCTTCATAAGTAGGAACACCAAGGTTACGTCCAGCACCGGAGATTTGTAAAAAGACTTGGATGATTTGTTGAATGATAGAAAAAATGGTGGAAAGAAAACTCTTCTGAGATAATGTTCTGTTATTTGATAGTTCTAAGGTGGTTGGTTTTTTGGCAGCAGCTGGTTTATCATTCTTTTCTGTAGAAGAAGTAGCAAAAGCCTGGAAAAAATGACCAAGAATTAATATAATGTTAAAAATAAATTAACTGTTGGCTACGGAACATAAAACATCAAATCATCTGTCAGAAAAATTTCAACAGAATATAAAAAATAGATAAATATTAATTACAAAGTCTATAGCAATTTTATTTTGCCAGTAATAAGCGAATTGTACATAAAAATAAAAAAATCAGAGAGTAGTAAGACTATTTAATTATTTGTAACAATTGATTCTAATTATTAATTATCTAATTAGGCTACTTGAATAGTCGAAATGTCAATCATTAACTAAAAAATTATTCAACATCTTTTCAATCAATGTTTAACCGCTCTTTAATTAATATTTAGTCGTTACAGAATGTAAAAAAAAATTTATTTATTTATTTAAATGAATTGATTATACTTACTTGAACCAAAATGGCACAAAGAACAAAAGCGACAAGTATTGACCTCATTATTGTAGATTTTATTTTTTCCCCAAAATGGAATCACTTATTTTAGTATTTTAGTATCCCAGTAATGTACTTTTTTTTTACTGTGTTGTGACTTGAAATTTATTCATGCTTATATATCAATTCCACTTCCCCAACAGTAACAATAACCGTAGTACAATTTTCCCTCAGGGTACATAAATTTTGAAATAAAAAATGTTCTTACTTGTGAAGATATCATTATCAATTAAGTTCAAGATAAAATACTTTCACACTTTATTCATTTACTTCAAAGTACATATAATTATAACTTTCCTAATTACTAATATTCAATAAAGTGATTTACCCTGCAGGTGAAATGCATTTTAAATAACCATTAAAAAGTTTTTGATTGAAAGATAAAATTAATTGAGGTTATTTTTAATTAATTGAGTATCACTTTTACAACTTGCCAATGAGTTACTATTATATGATAATGATATATTACTGCAAATCAGTGTAATAAATATGGTTACAAACACCTTGCTGTAAGATTTATTACTTTTTACATTGATGCACGTGGAAGAGGCATAGAGAGTCTATTATTCGTATTTAAATTCTGCTGGATTACATACCTATTTAAATATGAGACTAATATATTGATTAATATTTAATGCTAAAGAACCGGCTAAAATGTTGATTGCAATTACAAAAGCAGATGGTGTAATGAATGTATACATAGATGTTGATATTTATTTATGTAGATACTTCGAATGTGATATTAAGTGTATGATAATTCATACCAATAAGATTTTTAAATAATTCTAGCATTAAGTCTATTCAATATGATTATGTAAAACATTGTAGTTAGGATTGAAGCGTGTATTTAGTCATTGAATTTAATTTCTTGAATCAGTGACTTTATCTTCTGAATACTGAGAAATAAATTTGCTTTGAACAAGTCATTTTTTTTTAATTAATAAAATAAAAATTTTTAAATTAATTGATTTAATTCTGACGATTTCTTAAAATATAAAAAAAAATCATTTGAGTATTTATTTATTTCAATGTTTCATTTTTTTTTTCAGACCCATTGTATTTCAGAAAGTGAGAATTAATATCAACAATTTTTTATGAATGATTATTTATCAAAAGTAGTTGCCCATATTATATAATTGAATATAAAAAAATATATTATTATATAAGATTTGGTTGAATAATTTTATTTTAAAGGAGTATATAATTACTATTTCTTTAAATTCAATAAAATATTTAATTAAAAACATTTCAAACTCTCTTAAACATTTATTAGCATAATAAAAATCATTTTCTCAATGTACAATCTAATAATTGATATATCGAATCACTTAATAAAAGGAAAAGTTCGTTTTCAACGTTAATTGGATGTAAAGTTGGTGATTGATTTAATAAGATTGTAAAGATACTTAGATATGAAGTCGTGACTAAATATTTATGTAGATGAAAGTTATGCAAGAGTATTTTTGTATAATTATTACTAAAAAATAATTGGTTCTCTGGAAGTAAATACCACAGAAGGTGTATGCAAAGATATATCTATTCGTGTGAAAGGGATATGACAGATGTCCAAGGACACAAATCGTTAGTAATCCCCTGTTGCTCGGTTAATAGGCATGAGTTCAGTCACAGTTTATGTTGCAGTAGTTGTAGATTCAGTTTGCTCGTATTTCACTCCTAAATACCTAAAACATTTTTCGACTACTTTTTACAACCAACAATCCTAGTGAAATTAATAACAGTAAATCTGAGATATTAAATGATGATTAAACATAATAAATCAATAAAATAATTAAACTGTAAATTATTTAATAATGAAATTGTTCGAAGTGAAATAATAATAATAATTGGACAGTTATTCTGAAATATTAAATTTTTTACAAAATTATGTAACATTACACACTGCTCCATGTGAATTAAATATTCTTTTGTGACTGAGATATTCGCAAGTTGGTCTAAAGAGAAAAGTAATTAAAAGTAGACAATAGTTCTAACGCTGTTTTTGCTTGGAACATTATAAACTTTTGAAAATAAAAAATGTCATGGTAAAACTACGAGTGATGTACATATGAATGTGCTTATACGTTGCTAGTTGGTGGCTTTCGGTTGAATTACATGAGTTAGGAGTTGATGGACTGCAAAATCAATTGAACCAAATAGCACTAACTATTTTTATGTGGATGATTTATTTTTATTATGAGCAATTCTCAACTCTAGACGAAACGACGCTGGTTGTAAAAAAGCTGTGAAAGCGAAAATTGTCATTCAGTGTGAGGTAGAAATTATTTAATGACTTTAGTGTTGATGACTCTAGTGAATAGTATTATTAATAAATTAATTTTTTAGTTGGAATTAAATATAATAATTGAAAGATGTCTAATTTTGTGGAAGCAAGTATTTCTAGAAGTCAATTCCAAGCTAAAGAAAAATGGAGAATATTGAAAAATATCCTGATGATTGGTATTGCATTTATGATTCATTTTACTGCGTTCATGGGAGCTAGTAATCTTCAAAGCTCTATAAATGCTGACGATTCGTTGGGGACCTTCACTTTATCAGCAATTTACGGGAGTCTCATCTTCAGTAATATTTTTCTACCCGTATTAATAATTAGGTAAATAAAATATTTTAAAATCTTCCTAAAAAAAAAAAAAGAAGAAGAAGGGCATGAGTTTACAAAAAATTTTATATTCCGGAAGAACTTTTAGGGAATAAATATATCTATAAATATAGAATAAAAAAAAGGTTCATTCTCTGTACACTTATTTTTTGCTGGTTCTTCACATCAAGTATAATCTACATTTATTTTATGCATACAATAAATTTATTTTATATGAGTAATTTGAGACACAAGAGTCAGTTTCATATTTACTCCGTTTTATTTTCACTATAAAAGAAAACATATCACCCGCAGTTTCTCAAATTTTGTATCGAATTTTCAAGCTCAATAATAAAGAAGACGAATTTATTGATTGCTAAAAATACTCTCTTTTCCAAGCTTCTCTTGATTTCAATATAATATTTTTTTTATTAGCTATCAAAAAAAAAAAAAAATGAATGATAATAATATTAATAAAATATAATAATGCAATAATATATTACAAATACAATAATAAATTAATAATACAATAATATATTACATAATTATTATGTAAATTACATACATATTTTATTATTATTATTATTATTATTATTATTATTATATTAATAACTGGCTTATGTTCGTGACTTTGTCTGTATAAAACTTGAACAAAAAAATTTTCAAACTTTTTACAATTCTTCGATAAAAATAATAATTTCTATTAAAGTAGTTCATATCTACCTTTTCCGATAATGATATTATTTTCTAGAAAGTTCGAAAATATTTTAGAATTTTTTAGACGATAAAAATATCTATTAAATATATTTCATTTAAAAAATAAAATATATTATTTTATGCATTATATATTTTATTATCAACGATGATAATATTATAATATTATCAATATAATAATAATAAATAATACTAGTATTAAAAGCTTAAAAAATATATTTATTAAAATTAATTTATGGCGTTGATTTATAGAGCAATCTAGAAAATATTTCGACTCTCTTGGCTAAGACTTTCTGTCGTCAGAGATAATTTCGTTGACAAATTTAATGGCATTAGGTCTCGTTATATCTTCGTTTGTCTGTTCTTTGAGAAAACTAATCTTGCCACAAATTAGTTTCAAAGGTAATTAATGTTTGTAAAAGTAGAATAAGTAAAAAAAGGGGATTATTCTTTTTCAGTTGGTTGGGATGCAAATGGACCATATCTATATCTTTCGTTGCCTACATGCCATTTATTGCAGCCCAGTTTTTTCCAAAATTCTATACCATGATTCCAGCTGGATTAGCTGTTGGTTTAGGAGGTGGACCTCTGTGGTGTGCAAAATGCACATATCTAACTGTCGTAGCAGAAGCATATGCAACTATTTCAGATTTGAGTGCTGATGTTTTAGTCACGAGATTCTTTGGCCTTTTCTTCATGTTCTATCAGATGGCTCAGGTCTGGGGAAACCTCATTTCTTCTGCGGGTCCGTCTAGATAATACAGATTATTATTGTCAATAAAAACAAAATACCAGCAGTGTGACAAATACGAGTACTGAAACATAAATAATATTTAATTGAAAACAAAGTATCTAAATTGAAAGAAAAATAGATACTCTTTACCATCCAAATGGAGTATCTTTTAACTGACTTTCTTCATTGTCTTCTATCGTTTCGGTATTCAACCAAGTCTCACTGCTGTGACTATAATTTGATGGTGTAATTAAGTTTAATTCACTCAACAATTAATTGTTTATTACTAATTTTAGTTTTGTCCTATGGAATAGAGGATTTACCAAGCAATCTAACTTTGAATAGTTCAATAGTATCAGAAACTTGTGGAGCAAATTTTTGCCAACGGATTGAAGAAAATCCCAATTTAGCACCGCCCCCAATGGAAAGAATTCATTTGATTGCTGGAATCTATTTGGGTTGTATGGTACTGGCAGCTCTGATCGTCGCATTTGGAGTTGATTCTTTATCAAGGTGATCCGTTGTTTCTGTCTCAAACAAAATAATATGGAAATCAATTGTCAACAGAGGTTTAAATTTAATCAATTTCCATTTCTTTTCCCTATAATAAAGAAACGGAATATGATACATCTTAAGTCAAATGAAAAATGTCAATAGCTTTTACTCTGTTGAATTTCTTGATTCAAGCTACTGGAAAATTGATAGCTATCAAATACAAATAAAGATAAAATAATTTCCAATAAATCATGAAAATAATTGCAGATATGACAAAGGCCGAACTGGATCAGCAGCTGGCCAGTCAGGACTTAAATTATTGGTTGTCACTTTAAAATTATTAAAAGAAAAACGTCAATTACTTATAATGCCTATAACAATGTTCATTGGAGCTGAGCAAGCCTTTTTATTTGCTGATTATAATGCAGTAACTATCTAATGACAATCTCTAGTCATTTATGTTTATTTGTTATAAATATTTAATCGTTTTATTCATTCTCGTGATTCAAGTCTTATGTCTCATGTGCCTATGGTATCAATAACATTGGTTACGTCATGATATGCTTCGGAATAGCTAATGCTATAGCTGCCTTGGCCACAGGATCTATCGTTAAAATTACTGGAAGGGTACCTGTTGTCATTTTTGCTTTCGTACTTCATCTGGCTATTATTGTTGTCCTTCTACTTTGGAGACCAACGCCAGAACAAGGATTTATCTTTTTCCTGATGTCCGGGTTGTGGGGGATCTGTGATGCCATTTGGCTCGTTCAAGTTAATGGTAAGTAACAAATCAACCATTCATTTAATTACGTTATTGGTTTAACTAGTTTTTTTTATTACTTTTACGAGATGATTATTATCTAAATGTTCATTGATTCGGTTGATGCTATCATTTGCATACGTAGATTATAATTATCATAAATTGGCAATAAAACGTCAAACTTTGAATAATACTGGAGTAAATCAATGTTAGTTTATTACTTGACGTTACTTGAAGTAATTTAAAAAACAATGATGATATTTGAAGGCATTGTTATCGATAATCGTAAAATATTTGTGAATAAACTGACATTCAGTCACTAACTTGTTGTTGATAAGGACACTTCCTGTGAGCTTTACAGGATAACTTGCCTACAAGTATTTGAAAGTTGTTTTTTATAAGACAAAGTATTTTTTGATTTAAAAAAAAAGGAAATGTTTGGTGTACAAATTGTTAAAGTGTAAATAATAGAATGTCTTTGACTGGAATATTCTCTATTAAAGCCACATTGATAACAAATATTTATATCTGCAAAAAACAAATATTTTTTTTGTATCCTGAATGAAATATTTTTATTTCTTGTCTTTATAGCATTGAGTGGAATTTTATTCCCTGGAATGGAAGAAGCTGCATATTCAAATTTTCGATTGTGGGAAGCAACCGGATCTGTTATTACATATGCTTACAGTCCTTATTTATGCACGAATATCAAGTTATATATTCTATCAGGAATCCTCATAGTTGGTGTGATTGGATATGGAATAATCGAAGTCACAGGAGGCATTTCAAAGGTTGTTTTAGATCCAAAAACAGATTTTGAACTTGTTCGAGACAATGAAGTAACTAACGAAAAATAATTGAGATTTTTTTTATTGTTTAAATTAAAATAAATGTGAATGTAAGTTATATTTTTATAAAAATTCAAGTAATATGTAAATAAAATGCTGAAGTAATAATTGAATAAAAATATTTATTCAGCGATTGATCAATAATTCAATAGAATTTGTATTTTATATTCTTTTATTTGAGTACTTTTTTTCAGATATTTTTTAGATGTCTAAAAATGGTACATAAGATGACTTTCAGATATCTCTTAAGATATCTTTTGGATAGCCTCTTGCTAGATGAAACATATCTAATTTTATCTCAATCGATTTTTCTATTCATTCACTTCCTTGTATATTAAGAAATTAATTCATCAAATCATCGAATAATTGATAGTATTTGATCAATCAAATTACCCGGAAGTCTTTTTTATAATTTATAAATAAATAATAAATGATAGTATATGAGTGATTCAACCTAAATTGTGCACAATATTAAAACAAAAATGAGTCAGTTTTGTTGAGTGACAGAATTAATAAACATGTCAGAGAAAGTGAATTTTGTTGATAAAATTTTTAATTTCAACCTACTTTCATTACATTTATTTTTAATGTTTTTTAAATTATTTGGTCTGGTACCACTGTCAGTGTCTAATCTAAAAGTACTTCAAAAAGATATTAAAAAAGTATTTCCCATAAAATTTCCATCATCTCAGATAACGTTGATGCTTAACAACATTGGGTTTATCATTTTATGGCCGATAGAGGTGTATCTTTTAATTGATATGATTCAAGTGGCTTTAAAAAAGAAGTCTAATTCAAGTATGAATTATTTCGCCATAGGATTACAACTTTGTCAATTGATTGTGTTGGTTAGTTGTTCGAAAAAACGTCGAATATTGGTGGATGTTTTAAATGAAATCTTTACTCTTGAGAGTGAGATAGTTCAGAGGCTTGAAAATTATACCAAGATAAATAAGATAATATGTCATCAAGTAACGATAATTATTATCTTTACTGCAACTAATATGATGCTTCTGATAGAAACTGCTCTGACAAAATTTAACAACAATATATTTGTTTATAAAAAAATATTTGTGTTTATTATTCCGGAATTTATTATTAATTGTTTAATAATCCAATACACTTTACTCTTGATCTATCTTTTAAGCAGAATTCGTGATATCAATAAGTTATTCCAATCACTATTAGTATCAACACAAAATGGTGACCGCGATGTCATTGTAGTAATCGACAAGTGGACGAAACATTCGATAATAAGTCACATTAATTATATTCGAAGAATATATAATAAGTTTTGTAAAATTTTATGTCAAATAACGGAATTTTATTCACTGTCGATGCTGTTTGTGACATCATACAATTTCCTCGCTCTCATAAACTCGGTGTTTTTCTTCCTGAAAAACTGTAGCACAGAGTCATCAATAATATTATCATGCATGAAAGAGTTCCCGTGGATTATTAAATTTATTCTTCCCATGTTTATTTTGACGAACTGTGCTACCAATATCATTGTGGAAGTACGTATAAATTTGATGAATTAATTATCATAATTATTTGCTAGGAAATGAATTTACTAAGTAATTATTTATTGTAGATAACCAGGATGAAAACTTTGATTTATAAAGTATCAGCTGCGTATTACAATCAGTCAGATATTGTACTCGAGGTATCGAAAAAAATCTATGAATTTTTTTCTTTAATAGCTAACGAAAAATTGAAAATTGTCAACAGATTTTTACAGTATTCATCAGTAAATTTTACGAAGTTTTGAAAAATTTATGAATAAATAAACCAAAGAAATATTATATCATTAAATGCATTTTATTGCATATTTTTGCTGATCAATGGCATTGACAATTACAGAAATATATTCATAGTTATTGTTTATATGTTCTAAAGTGAATATTTTAAAATCCACTTTCATTAAAATTTATTGGCAGTCATTAACATTAGAAGCTCTATTGGTGTAATATATTTTCTTCTTTGCAGCTTCAGGAATTCTCTGTTCAGTTGTTACATAAACCTAATTACTTCACAATTTCTGGATTATTTCAACTAAACAACAGGCTGATTACATCCGTTGAGTATTTCTTTAATATTCAATAACTTTACTCTCCATAAAAAATATTTACTAAAACCTAAGCTCTACTTTTCGATTTGCAGATTTGTGGTACCACTGTAACATACATAATAATTCTCAGCCAATGGGACATACTTTTTCCCAATGCAAGATTCTTTAGATTGTGAGTTACAATAAAAACAAACTCAAGCTGTTAATTGAAATTTGTAAGATATCATCAACATGAAATATTTTTGTATACCTCTTATAATTTAATAAAACCATAAATGATTATTTTATCATCAAATATTAAAATGTTAATTCATAAACCAAAGAAAAATAAGGCATGCATTTACAGTAATGAAATTTTTCGATTCATATCACAGGTGATGTTTAATTGGTTCAAAGCTCCCCTTTCATTTCCAACCCTTTCAGGGAACATAGAAATAATTTTATTCAGTAGTAGTGTTTTAACATTCAAAATAGAAATAAAAACAATGCTTTTTGTCACTAAATATTCAAAGTATCAAATTTTTTTGTTTAAATTAATAATTACATTCACAAAGTTGTTAGGATTAGCACCGTTCAATGTAGTTATAACACCAATTACTGGTAACGGTCCGCAGTTATTCTGGATAAAATTAATTAGCTCTTTGACATCAGCTCTCTATAATTTATTCGGCTTTTTTATTTCAATAGGGTTTGAGTGTTACTTCTTTATAACCCTACTCGAAAATCACGACAAGAATGAAAAATCAATGATTCACAGCATATTTGGTTTTGGCATAGCTATTTTTATCATCAGATCAACAATAATATGTTATTACTCTGTGAAACATAAAAAAATCGTTAACATTCTAAACCGAGTGTTGTATTTCGAGAATAACATTAGGCAAAACATTGATAAATACACTAGCAAAAGGAACTATAAATTTCACTCAATTATTGTCATTGTTTTTTATTTAACGATCCACATATTTTTGATTGGAACTGAGCTGATTGATGATCGTCTGAATTTTTATAATAAAATGGTATTTTTTGTTATTCCTGAATTCATTGTGGGAGGTTTGTTATTGCAATATTCCCTGATATTAATATTATTCGAGAAAAAATTTAATGTTTTAAATAAATCACTAGCATCTTTGGCGATAAAAAATATTGAAGATTATCACGATTGTATCTTTGTGATAAATAATTCATATAAAAATGAGATCATGGAACAGATTTGTTTCTTTCAAAAAGCATATTGCAATCTTCTTAATATTTTGTATGACATCAACAAATTCTTTTCCATGCCAACTTTACTTGCTGTTGCCTACAACGTATTAGCAACAATAAATGCATTATATTTTTTTGCTATTAAAGTTCTCAATTCGAAAAAACAGATAACAGTTTTTGAATTTATTAATGAAGTAGTGTGGGTAATGAAGTTCATATATGCTGCATTCGTCTTGGCAGATTGTGTAACAAAAATTCTCAACGAGGTATTTAATGGTTAAATTATATAGTATTTTGTATAATTGAATGGATAATGGTTGGTTTCAGATGAAAAATACCAAGAGTATTATTTATAATGTTAGAACAACTTACTCTAGACAGATCCAAATAATTAGCAAGGTTAATAAAGTTTATAAAAAATTAATATGTTAAGATATCAATCATATAATTAGTTTTTCTTTCTCCTCCAGATCCACGAGTTATCGATACAAATGCTGCATGACAACAACACTTTTAATGTTTACGACTTATTTTCTTTGGATAATAAGCTTCTGTCATCGGTAATTTTTTTTAATAATGACTATTTTGTTCCACGATATAAGTAAAACTTTCCACACTTCAACAATTACGATTATTATTGCAGATTTTTCAGTCGATTATTGGATATTGGCTGATTCTGAAACAAATATATGGCTCTTACTCAGATTCAACTTCTATGGCATCATCTACAAATCATTCAATAACCTCCTAATTTTTTTTTTGATGACCCAAAACTTAGTTGGAAAAGTATTTTATCATTAAACAAGTTCTTCTTAGAGATTTAAGTACTTTTATAATTACTCAAAATACATTTATTGTATTAAATACGAAATATATTTTATACCTCTGAATAATTAATGATAGAATAAAACAATTTTTTTATCATTCAATATCAAATTAATTATTTATTAACTAAGGACATCTGAAACTAGCATTAAAGTAATGAATCTTTCTGATTCATATCTTTGGTAATGTTGATTTTGATTTAAGATATCGCTTCATTCTTCGTCTTTTTGTAATAATACAGAAACAACTACATTCAGTAGTAGTGGGTTGATGTTTAAAATAGTAATAAAGCAATGCTTTTTATCAAATGTCCCAAGTATAAAATTTTGTTATTAAAATTGTTGATATTCTTTACCAAGGTGTTAGGATTGGCACCTGTCAAAGTGATAATAACACCAATTACTGGAAATTGTGAAGAATTATTTTCAATAACGCTAGTTAGCTCCTTGAAATCAGCACTCTCGAATTTAGTTAGCTATTTTATTTTAGTTGGAATTGAGTGTAACAGTTTGACAGTATTATTTCAAAACCGTGGAAGCATAAATAGAAAAAAGTCTACAATTTATCATATGATTAGCTTTATAATTGCTGTCTCACTTATTCGATTGGCAATAATATGTTATTACTCTATGAAGCATAGATTAATTATCAACATTTGGAATAAAGTGTTATGTTTTGAGAATGAAATTCGGCAACACATCACAAGCTACAGCTGTAAAAGAAAATATAAGTTTTATTCAATCATTGTGTTTGTTCTTTACTTAATCATTCATCTAGTGCTGATTGGAACTGAGTTTGTTGTTAAAAACAATGATTTTTATAGCAAAATAATTTTTTTTTTCATCCCCGAATTTATCGTGGGAGGTTTATTGTTGCAATACTTCTTGATAGTTGTATTTTTTGAGAAAAAATTAAATATCCTGAATCAATCACTAGCATCTTTGGCAGTTAAAAATACGAATAGTAGTAACAATCGTATCTTTGTGATAAATAATTCATACAAAAATGAGATCATGGAACAGATTTGTTTCTTCCAAAAAGCATACTGTAATCTACAGAATATTTTATATGACTTGAACAGTTTCTTTTCTATGCCAACTCTACTTGCTGTTGCATACAACGTATTAGCAACAATAAATGCATTATATTTTTTTGCTAATAAATTTTTCTCTACAGCAGGAACATTGACAGTTGTTCAATATGTCAATGAAATAATGTGGGTAACAAAATATGTCTTTCCGATATTTGTTTTAGCAGATTGTGTTACAAAAATTCTTAAAGAGGTAATTAGAAATGAAGTGAAGTAGTCATCTGTATGTTTGAATTGAATTTTTCTTTCTTTCTAGATGAGAAGTACAACACATATTATTCATGATGTTGGATTAACTTATTTCAACCAGGCGCAGATATATGGCAAGGTCAGTATTTATTTTTAAAAAATAATTTATATCATATAATTAGTTTTTTCTTTCTCCCCTAGATCCATGAATTGTCAATACAAATGCTCCATACTAGCAACACTTTTAATATCTACGACGTATTTTCTTTAGACAACAAGCTTCTATCTTCAGTAATTTTTTTTAATAATAACAATTTAATTCCTAGACATCTGCAGAACTTTCCATACTTAAATAATCCCTATTATTTTTGCAGATTTTTCAATCCATTATCGCTTACTGGCTGATTCTGAAACAAATATACAACTCGTTCTCGAATTCAACTTCACCAGGGTCATCAACAAACCATTCAATTACCACCTAATGATTTTTTTATTGACTCCCCAACAAAGCTGATTAATATAATTGAAAGCTTATTTCCAAATTGAACTCGAATGCATCATATGCAGTAATCAATAATAGACTTCGGGATTACGATAAAACTAATATTACTCTGTTTTAATTCAACAGTGTCCACCATGATCAGTAAACACCTACCGATTTCCACTAAAAAATACTCTAAACTAGATATTTTACTTCTACGTGCAGTTGTTTTATTTTTTAACATACTAGGACTTGGGCCTTTTTCTTTAAAAATCGTACCTGTAAATGCCAGAGTTAAGAATAAATTTACAGTGACTTTTATAAACTCCAATTCAATGGTCATCTTCAATTTAATATCCTTCCTATTGTTGTGGAGTGTCGAATTGTATTCACTAATAAACATAATGCAGTGGTCCTCTTTGGCGCACGAAAGTGAAATAATGTTTCACTTACGATACTTTGCGGTTATTATGCAAATTATTCGAGTTATTGTCATGTGTAATAACATCATTAAACGAAAATTACTTACCAGCTTTCTAAACAAAATCATTGACATGGAAAATGAGATAGCAGAAAGATTTCGTTGCAATTACTCTTACCTTGAGCATCGAAATATTTATGAAATAATTATATTCTGTATGTTTACAATAATTCATATTGTACTGATTAAAACTGACATGGCAGTGAATCCAGATGATTTTTTATCCAAGTTCATCAATTTCATTATTCCTGAATACGTTACTGGGTGTGTGTTGATTCAGTATGGTTTAATATTAATATTCCTACGAAGAAGATTTCGAAACATCAACGAATCACTTTTGGGAATTGAATTTCTTAGACATGGAGTCTGCAATAATCGTATTGTTGTTGTGAGTGTGGCCTATAAACACAAGATTCTAGAGCATGTCAATTTTCTTCGAACAACTCGGAGCAAACTTGAAAAAATTTGTCTGGACATCTCTGAGTTTTATTCTTATCCCATTTTTTTTATAATTGGCTTTTTTTGTATAGGCATTGTTAATGCATTGTTTATAATAATTAAAAAGTTCTCGGTTTCATTACCGAATTTATATGAATTCATCAACGATTTAATATGGATATCAAAATTAATTTTCCCTATTGTGGTTATAACAAATTACGTCACGAAGATTTCATATGAGGTAAGGATTAATAATTTGTAAATAAAAAATATTGAAAAATTTTTTCTCTCATTTTTTGATTTTTTTTTTTTTTTACAGATAAAGAGAACAGGAAACATTATTCAACGAGTCATAGACTTTTGTTCGAGTCATACAGAAATTGTATATAATGTAATATCTGGTTTCTTAAAGCATGAAATATAACTCATGTGGTCAATTTGATATATTGATATCTGTGGTTAATTTATTTTGCAGCTCCATTTATTTTCTCTACAAGTCTTGCATAAATCAAACATCTTCACCGCATTCGGATATTTATCACTTGACAATAGACTACTGACATCAGTAATATCCTCTTCCGTTTTTAAACAATATCCTGGAAACAAAGATCTAGACTTATTATTATATTTGTTTCAGGTTTTTGGAGCAGCGATAACTTATGTCATTGTTTTTCTACAAATAGATAAATACATTCATTAAAAAATTGAAGGGCAGTACAGGAAATCAATACAATATTATATATAAAAATCATTTGAACAATTGTCATATATAGTTATTGTAAATTATTATTGAATATTGAAGAAAAAAAAAATATTCAGTCTATCACAATGTCATTAAAATTTGTTTGACAAAATTGCGTTGAATGGAAACTAACTTCTACATAAAACTCCCACGTATCTAGAAGATAAATATAATATATCTAAAGTATATCCAGTATATATTTAGACACGAAAACTAAAAATCTATTAAATAAAATTCTGGAAAAACTGCAATAAGGAAAAATATGCATCACTTCTATGCTAATGATGCTTCGGGGTTGATCGAAGGCTCATATGAAAAATCTAGACGTAAGGGAGAAATGTCTTTCTTCATATTTCATAACTTTTTAGATATTAATAAATTATGCTAGAATTGCGATTTATTATTTGAACAAAACCTTTCTCCACCAACAGAGTCATGATTTTAATTTATTCCAGTTTCTCTTATTTCATTTAGGCTCAGATGGCGACACTCCCTTCAGAGCGTACTGCTTGTAGTACAGATAGAAACGACGCCTGACCATACGTTGATATCCATCCCTGAAAGTTTCCTTTATTTTAGATTGTTGAGAAATACAATCTCCCTATTATGCTCTGTTGGTAATAAGATGTTGTATTTTATAAACAAATAATAAAAACAATATCCAATAACAAACATCCAGACGCATTCATTTCTACTTTTTCATTCAAGATTTAAAGTATAAACTACTAGTCTTCATGGATAATGTGATAAGGTTGATAATGGTAAAAAAAGAGTAAACAGTTTTTCGATTGTAACAGTCTATTATTTAAATATATTTATTTACAATGTGTATGATAATTTTGCTGAAAACTGTTACGAAACATTAGCCCATAGATTTTTACGTCTTCCTTAGAAATATGACACTCATGAATACGCTTGAATTTTTTTAATACTCATATCAATATTCTTATAATGAGCTACGAGATATTAATTTCACGAAGAAAATACACATGATTTCTATAAATTTTTTGTGGCCATTCGTATGTTTTTTGTTTTTAATTTTTCAGTTATTGCGAGTCAAATAATAAAATTCAATAATCAGAATATCTCTGTACAAACATCAGTATGTTCTTTTTCTCTATTAGAAAGAAAACGTTACCATCATGACAATTTAATTAAGATTGTAAATAAGAATTTGGACTATTTTGACTTTCTTTTTCATTTAATCTTATTTTTATAATACATTTGCATTGATTTAATTCATAATTTCGATATTCCCATTGGTTTTTTTTTTATCTGAACTCTATATAATAATTAAGTGCAATTTTGTTGTTATTAATTTTTAACCATGTAAATCTTCTTTGCATGAGTCTAGCTATTTAATAGCTGTAATATATTTATATATAATATATTAAAGATACTTTAATATTACAATACCTATTTTTAAAATTTATGTACAGAGGATATCCACTTCCTTGAGTGGCGGATTATATTTATTTTTTTTTTCGCCATGTTTTATTAAATTATAACAGAATTGTACAGACTACAGACTTCACTTATATCATTCTTATAAAATTTTTATTATTCTTTATTTCACACTGTGTGGAAATACACCGGAAACGATTGAAGATATTTTTAACAATGAATATACATATATATTTTTGTTAAAGAATTACAAAAGAAGAAGATAAATAAATGTAAGTAATAAAAATGTAACAATTTGTTGGGCGATAAATGAAATGATTGAAAAGGAAGATGTAATAAAATGACATTGAATATTTCTGAAATATGGCAGATTATTTCGGACTAGCTTCGCAAAAACTTTATTTCAATCGTTCATGTTTATTTGTGGCGTTGGTAGAGATTTAATAGATGATTAATAGTGCATGAAAAGGAAAATTTGGTAATAGTAATATACTTTCACAAAAGTTATTGCATTTCCGTACTTACTATTTAGTTTAGTCAATACTTAAATATTTATATTTTAATTATTATGTTGGCGTAATAATCTAGAGAGTCTTTGAGCCTGGACGTGGAGTTTATTGAGATACCAAATAATCGGATGTAAATATATATAGCATATTTAATGAATTATTTCTCATGTGTAGGTAAATGCTTGTGAGCTTTTCAAAAAGTACTCACATCCGTCATTTGGTGTCACCAGTCAAGAAGCAACAAGTTGATAATTAATACTCGCTTCAGTGCCTCTCGATCATTTAATTGTTTCTATATATCTACTTATACGAATCACAAGTCATAAAGACAGTTATTAGTTATCATTGTTATTATTAATATTATCATTATTGTTATTATTATTATTTACACATAATACAGGCGTATACGTTTATAATCACAATTGTCGTCGAGTTATTACCATCTTTGTGATGTCACATGTTTAGCATAGGCGAACTTTTAAACATAAAAAAGTTTTAACTTACGCGTGATTAGCAATCACAGTAACTCTTATATGAGTTTCTCTTGTCCATATGATTGCTCTTGACATTTATGCCACAGCCTCAATTACCTGCGCGATGAGTAATACCTACTTACAATTTATTCATTTATTTATTTTATTATAAAGTGGCTTATTTCATTTTTCATTCAAAAAAAAATTCCTTTTCATCATCCACGCAATACTATTTCGATATCACGCCGCATTATTTTTCCAGTCTTTATTCTATTCACTTTGACATCATTCTTACAGTATTTTTTAACGCTTGTCTTTTATTGCAAAACCAAATTCTTATCACTTCTCTCTCGTAGCCCAGCTGTTGTGCTAATGTTGTGATTTCATTACCTGGAAATAAAATTATTTTTTATTGTTAATAACAATGTTAATTAATTTCGTGATAAGATCACAGCAAATTTCAAATTTAAAAGTATTTTATTTCAATGCACTTAAAGTGTTTTAAAATTACGACATCCATTTGATTGACATTTTAGTTACTTTTAATGCACTAGGGCATGTTTGAACATGCATTATAATATCATATTTAAATACATTAAGTGCATCGAAATAAAACACTACGATTTGCAGGGATATTTAATCGAGTTGAAATATAGGTACTTGTTTGAATCCTTTTTGCCACTTTCGAAGTCTGTGTTAATACTTAAAATTTCATTTTGACGGTTAAAAATTATTATAAACAATTTAATAGACCATCTGATGTGAACTAAACTACGGTTACTTTATTTAAACAAATAAAATTGACAACAAAAGAGCACAGGTGAATTTTTTTAGTTACACTATGGATTCAATTCTTAGTTTCATGATATCTCTGATTTTGCTTTCTACTTTTCAATTTTTAAGCAACAAAATGAAATCTAATAAAAAAAAATATCAAAGATTTTTTCCTACTTTTTTTTACTTGTTTATATTTTTGTTTGAGTACTGTTGTGGCTGAAAACAAGAAGTATTAAAAAAATGCCTATATTTCGACTCGAGTAATATAAATGAATAAAACTTACCAGTAGGATGTGTATTTTTATCAAAATGTGCATTAAGTAGTTCTAAAGCCTGAGGAGTGAAAGACGTCCTTCGTTTTCTCTTTTTGCTCGGCTCCACCCCAATAAATTCCGTGAGATTATTGGCACCACTTTTGTACCTATAATCATACACACTACTCTCACTAAAATTCTGGCTACTATTTAACTCAACAGAATGCTGTACAATAAATGAAAAATTACTAAACAGAATTATCGCAGATGCATTTAATTCATTGAATGTACTGTTGGTATATATGAAAAAGGAGGTGCGGAATAAATGAAATGAAAAACTGGCAACAGCTCAAACTTTTGCAGTTAGAACTGTGAACAAAATAGAATGTACAACGTATAGTCGGACATTGAGCTAAATTTATGTTTTTAATTTAACGTCGAATGACCAAGCATCGAAAGGCGCAAACAAAACAGTAAAAAATGATATTGGTTTGAGATAGTTTATCGTGTTCATTGAAACAATATGCTAATGGAGAGTTGGCAACACATATAGGAGTCCAATGATTTCTAAATACTACAAGAAAAGTGGCCACAAGGGTGAGAAAAATGAAGCTTCATTGGGGAAAGTTATTTTATTTGAATAAAATGACGCGGGTGGTCGAAGAAAACCATCAGAAAAGGATGAATAAAGAAAAGAAGACGAGGTGACAGAGTAAAAGTAGCTGTAGCTACTTGGTGGAGTGTGCGGGGTACATCAGAAACCTGATTTTAATTAGTCCACAGTTTAATTACTAAGCCGATAAATCGTGCACGTGCACCGCATAAACTAGCCGCTTTCATTTTTCCGTATAGACTGGTGTTGGCGGCACAGTTGCACTTAGTTTTACGTCCCGAGAATGCGAGATGGGTAATTGTTGGGTGCCTGTGTAAAGCAGTCGCACGCGCACTATTTTCAATTCAGTTCATTCTTTTCGATAATTTTCACCCAATTATTCTCAATTATTTTCGATGGTCTATTAATATTTCATTAATAATACTCTACTGTGAAAATTTCCAATTTAAACGTGCACGAAACAACTTGATTGAATTATTGAGCATAAGAAATAGTGTAATGTTTCAATTGTAATTTTAATTATTATTTTCTAATTCAAGTTGGTACTATTTAAGGTAGTTTGGCATCCTCATATAAAAAACTAGAACTGTCCCTAGATTACCAAAAGTCTACTGATTATTGTTTCATTTCAATTAGTAATTACATCAAATAATTCGATAAATTTGTGAGTACGCGTCAACAACATGCTCACGTTAATAATATATCTGTAGCTATGAGATTGAAGTGTTTTGAATGAAACACTGGGTTTTACTATGTCCAATAATCGAAAATATATAAAACAACGATCGGAATTGAAATATAAATTCTAATCAGAAATTTTCGTTTCTTACGTTTTAGTTACCATAGACCCATCGTATTCTTTTCGCAATATTATAAAATTATTGAAAGTACAAATAATTGAAGTATTATTGAAGTTAACGATAATAATGATGATTGATATTTATTCAAATACAAATTGTATATATAAATAATGTGAGAGTATATTAAGTATTATTTAAATTAAGTTGCATTAATACTTTGCATTGAGTTTGCAAAATCTATGGAGTATTTCAATCACTAAATAATCTATATAAAAATGAATAGTTTTAATTAATTAAAAATTCAAACAAACTATTGTTATTTTATCGTTATAAGTTTTCACTTCCTATGACTGTCTGATTAATTTGTTTATTTATTGTTTACGACAATCCCTTTCAATAAAATTTCTGAAATTTTTATTTATATCAACATGTTTTCCACTAAGGGCCAACTGTGTCAATTGTTAATAAATCATCGACTTCCGGTAAAATTGAATAAAGATAGTCACAAGAGTCTGTGTATTTTTATATCACTTCAAGAAATTATTTCTCCTAAACTTATAGAAACATGATCTTTTTGGATCAATTAAAAAAAAAGGGTTGTCAACTGTGAGCCTGTCAATGCCAAATTACTTTAAATGATAACAACTTTGCAACAAATTATTTAATATTGATAACAAGATATGGTAAGTAGACTTATCCAGACTTAGTATATAAAATGTTTTTAAAAAGGGTAAATTATATATTGACTAGTCCATAATTACGATTGCTACATAACGATTTTCCTCTTACTAATTAACATTCCGTTTATTTATTAGACACGGATAGGCAATTAATCAGGTAGATTCAATAAGAGAATTAGCAATTAACACGCATGGTTGTAAGTCCGGACACTAGTTAGACGAAGATCCTGTTGCATGATTGCATGAGATAATCTCAACTTTAGAAATTGATAAGATTGCCCTAATAATAATGATTAGCTTCAAAAGAAAGGATGTTATGTGAAAGTAGAATAAAAAATTTACCTCTCTTCAGCTTCCTTCATCCACCTTGCTAGAACTGGTTTTATTTTCTGTGCACTCTTGGGCGTAATGTCCAGTTTTTCAAACCTAAAGTCCAAATAAATAATTAACATTTCAACATGAAACTAAAACTCTACGAGAAAGTGATCAGCCACTTAATCGTAGAGATATCGAATGCAGAAAATAAAATAAATAACAAACAAAGTCATTAAGAAGCTTAGCATAGATCTAAAGGAGCACTAAAGGGCATGCATTGAATTGGGTAAAAACAGGACATTGACAATGCGTGCATGCGTGTAGGTTTGGTGATGCCGCGTATGATGTTGCCAACGGGTTTTGGTTGCCGGTCGCGTGATATATTCCTCTCAACGTACAGGGGAATAATTATATCATGAAAACATCTGAAAACGAGCGGTAGACGTTAATTGATACGAATATCTCGCGTGTTGGCGACACCATGCCCAAGCTTGCCAATGCCCTGGCTCGAAGAGAAATATATATAAATAGATATAGAGAAGATAAAATAGATTATTAAAAATATACAGAGGAAGATAATTAGTAAGAACCTATAAACAGTTCTATTTTTAAGTGCTCCTTTCTTTTATTATGTCACGAACTTGGTTAGAAAGCAGTTCCACCATTGCAGCCATACCCAAATATGTTGATTGACAGTTTTAAATAATATTTTGTTCAATATTTTAAATAGGAAATGATTCAATAGTGAATCATGACATTTGGATATAGCTGCAAAAATTGCAATTAAAATTTTTTTTTGTAAAGATTGTAGGTAAATTAAATAGCATAAGGGGTAAACGTACATAGCTTGCTGCTGAGAGGCAATCTGCGAGGCAGCGTACATCTGGGTAGCCAGGGCACTGGGGAACAATCACCAATGCTTAAGTTAGTCGAAACGATAATAATCTAAGTTGTTGGTTTGTGCTATTGTGAACCGATGTACTGCGCAAAGGTTTGATTCCAACTCTTAAGGTCAATTTGCTTTGAGATCCAATTATTTCTAACAATCTTGACTATACATAATTACATCAAGTCTTATTACTTTGATTATTAGTTGAAATGAAACCTTGCGCTTTAACAACGGCAGATATTACAATCCTGACTCTATTCCTATATCGATTATACAAACGAGAAAATTCAATAAATCTTGCATCATCGTTAATGTCCGTATGAAATATTACATTTAAAATTTTATATAGATATACACATATATATGTATTATACATTTTTCTATATAATCAATAATCAATTTATTTCTTTTTTTATCACATGAATTTTAACGAATTTTTTTCATGCCATTTCCAGTGGCCTGGCACACTAAAATTCAATTTGAAATCTACATAAAAAACCTCACAGTATCGTTCGACAATTATTAGGATAATTTATTAATAATTATTTGAAAGTTCAATTAAGACATTATCCACCTCACCTGCATATTGCACTTTGACTGTATGCAGGACCCTCGGTGATACTAAGAGCTTGTCCAACTTGAGTTTGTGTCAGTCCTAGGGACAATCGTCGAAGTTTGAATGCCTTAGCAAACTCCTTGATCTCGTCCAAATTAATTCCGTCCACAACGTTATTCGTGGCTTCATTGATTGTCGGTTGATCTACAAAGAACCATTCAGAAATATATCTAATTTTCTCTTAGTAACATTTCCAATAAATAGATTGCTTAAACTAGATTTCATATGCATCCAACTTTCTCAATATTGTATTATATGATGAATTTACTTATTCAATTAAGTGATATATATTAAAACTATCGACTGAAGAAGGAATTATTTCATTAAAAATAAATTACTTGGAATAAATAAAAATTTCACTTAGTAGTATATTAATAGTTTTGACTAGTTATTTATGATATTCAATTAATTACTTGGTGAATCACTAAGTAGGTCATCTTCTTCATCCTTAGGACTATGTATACTACTTGGTGATGCTTTAATTGCAGGATTCCCTGGGCCATGTGTGGTAGTAATAGTAATTTCTCCATTAGTAGCTGCCAATCTATTAAGAGCTGAAGCTGCGGAAACTGCAGGTCCATTTAAGGGAGATGATTGTTCTGGTCGGTCTCTGTGATGTTTATCAGACGTCTAATAAAATAAAAAATTATCAGATATATTAGCAACTAATTATACAATACTTTCTTAGTGATAATAAAACTGTGATGTAGGATATGTTTTAGCACCTGGTAATGATTGAGGTGTGAAGGATGTCGATGGCTATGTTGATGTTGAGGTGATGTAGCCAAAAGAGGTTGTTGTGACGCCTGAGCAGCTTGAGCTACTTGCGCCTGGGCCGCTTGAGCTGCTTGGAGTAGTTGTTGTGGTTGCATTGCATTGAGTAGCTGCTGACTCGCTGAATTATTGCCCAACAAGTGAGGCAACGTTGCTGGATTCAATCCTAATCCTGGTGCAATATTTTGACTCGTTGGAACTGTTTTTTTTAAAATAAATTTATCATTTTATTTATTTGATCGTCATTCATGAAAATATTGAAATATTTGATTGGAAGATAAAATATTTTTACCATTAGTTGACGAGGCATTCATGAGATTTTGAGGTTGGGCAATAGATTGGAGATTAGCTAGAGTTGTCGAAACGACTTGGCCGTTGCTGAGTGCTAAATTGACCATTTGATTGTTCGTCACATGGTTGACAGGAATCGTGAGTATTGTTTGCGTGACGAGTCCTAGAGAGATGAAGGTGATGTAGAAATAAATTAAAAAATAATAGTGTAAATTACAAAAGGGTTACAAGTTCTGAGTAGTTAAGGATTTTCGTTAAACGTATACTGTTCACTCTTCATCCGGATTGAGAGTGAAGTTATAGAAGTCTCATAGAGGGATTATTAAGCAACCCATAGGGCAGGTTACTTCAGAGGCTAGTATAGTTGGCAAACTATTATCGCCATCTTGGGTGTGGATACCGGACTTGAACTGGGCGCCGGAGAAGGACTGAGCTGCCTAATCATACTTAGAATAGTTTCGAGATTACCTCCAGTTTCTCTAATCTGATTATCTTCTACATGCGCTTAATATGATTACTGATCTTCAGTACCTGTGCATGTACTTAATAGCTTGGTTAAGCAAATTTGACATCTCCAATAGCTATCAGCCTTGAAAATATTTTGAGAAAATATCTCCAAATAATTCATTAATTATCAGACAAAAATTTATGAAATTCATTTCAAATCCAATTATTGTTTTAGAGTTATTTAATTGATTTAAGTTCAAGTAGAGATAAATTTATCTCCAGCAAAGCTTTCGTCTTTCGTACAAACTTGAAATCTTGAAAGTTAGAAATTGTCTAAATGGAGTAGAAATGGAGCACGAGTAAAAATTAAGTTAGCGTAGGTTATAGTCGATATAATAGCGATTGAATGTTGAAGCCATTGGGATGTCCAACGTGTAACATTGTGAGGAGTGTAGGCAAGAACGAAACTGCAGAGTGGGCGTTAGGGAAGATAGAAAGCACAACGAGGATCGGAAAGGGGATGGTAGTGAAACGTTAATTATACATTGAAATTAGTTGCAGAGTTTGCCCTCGGTTCGTAGTACTCCAGAGCCACTAAGTATGGACGACCGGGATCTGGTCCGGGCTGGCCAGCGATAGTAATATTATATATACCGTTAGAACATGCTTGAGTAATATTATGGCGATTGTACAAGTGTTAAGAGGGTTTTCCAAGTTTAGTTTCGTTTGGATGTGATCGATCCAGCTTTCTCATTATTATCTCATGCTACTTCCATTTATTTAAAGGATTATTATTGATTTGATTTTATTATAAAACTTACCTTGGGACGTTGGAATGAATAACTGAGCACCTTGAATTCCTTGGACCAATTGACCTGATGTTAAAATAAACTGAGGCATCGCTACAGGTTGGTGTTGAGATAAAAGTTGTGGCAGTGACGCCATTGGGGCTGAACTCGATGGCAGATGATGTGGTGATGCCGTCGTACTTGAAGGAGTTGACACAGTTCCAGCTGTGGAATTTCCAACAATTAATCTACAATCGTAGTAATAGGTATTCTCATTGATAAAACTATTGATTTTTTTTTCTACAAACCCGAAGCACTGACTGTAAGATTCAAGGGAGTATTTATCAACTGGTTGTTGGACAAACCAGCAGACATTCCCTGAAGACCAGCAGCTAAAGATGCCACTTGGGGTAAATTCTGGAAATTTGCTAAATTTTGTAAATTTTGAAGAGTCACCATTCCTGCCACTGCAAGCAAACAAAATTAATTCTTTTATTAGAAAAAAAATTACAGTTATTGACAACTAATAAATTAACTTTATTTTTACACGAAGAAAATATTTATATTATGGGGTAATTTTTTCTCCCTATATTTTCTTCGTGTAGATTAAGAATAAAATCATTCTTGACTCGAGAATATTATTTTTCCAGTGTTATTTAAATAACATACTAGTTCCATTGAGATGAGCATCAGATGATCTCGGAAAATTAGAATGACTCATATTTTCCGGGGACGCACTCCGTCGGTTTTTTCTCGAGTTCTTCAACCCTTCCATCAGCATTTGATGCTCATGAAGAACACCTGAAGCAGGCTCGGGACTACCGGTACTACTCCTATCACTCTCCTGAAAAAAAAAAATGATAACAACACTTTAATTTGTTATTTCAAGATTATCAATTCACTATCAACATACAGTAATATTGAATTATTCCATTCTATGAAAATAAATCATCTCGATAACAATACCTATAAAATTTTTTTGATAAATCAACTGATTTTGGCATACATAACTGTAAAAATGGATTATGCAAAATCTAATACTAAAAAATATTTTTTTCTTTGTTTTTTTTTTTATATATTTTTTTATTTCAAGCGTAGAGATACGAACTGAGCAGGGAGTTGCGTTCTTATCGAGCTTCGGTACCCGTCCGGGCTTTGTTCGTTGTGACGCTCGATCGGATGAAAAAAACGATAAAGCCCGGTCAATGGTTAACGAACGAAAATCGCCTCCATAAGAGGCAGCAGTTCAATTTTTTCCGCGTAAATTCGTAAACGATGTCCGGTGATATGGGTATACTGCAGCATATTAAATGGTCGAAGTAAAGAGGGATTAGTCGAAAAACTACGGGTTCGATGATCGTCTTTGTTGCGATACATAATACGTATTAAATTATTACAATAAATATTCATGATTCTAAATAAATTTTGGTAACATAACCTTCTACACTGAAAAAAGAGATTTATTACTGCTAAAAAATGATTAATCGTCAACATCGATGCTTCGAACTGTTAAGAAATATTTTTTTTACTGCACCAAGGCTATGTTCAATGGTCAAGGGATGATTTTTTAGAATAAAAATAAAATACTTTTGCCAGTGAATGATTCTGATTAAAGAAAAAAAAATTTTCATTTCACTAATTAATTTTTCAGTTATCACAGCAATCTTTTTAATGAATGGATTTAAAATGGAAATAAAAGCAAATTATAATGAAATGAATATAATGTGAATTATTGAAATGATATAAATATCCGTAAAAGCCTTAATCGTTGAACAAATAAAAAATGGTTAGTCAGAGCACACGGGTCATCTCACTAATGCGAAAAACGAAGTCCAACGCCAATGGCAACAAAAAAACCGAAGCTCGCGGCTAAAATAGGGGGATGAGCAGTGGAGAGAATAGGTAAAGGGGTGTTTTAAAGGGTGGGAGTCGCAATACCATTGGAAATGTAACAATAAACATTACTTATCGGCGTTGGCCTTTAACAATACTGGACGAGTGTGTATGTATGTGAGGAGGAGAGGGAGGAAGGCGCACCCTCCAATTCTCATATAAAAACGCAACTTTGGCGTTATTTTCATTTTGCAATAAAGTAATTTAACGGTTTGAGTTATGGGTAATTCCTATGGCGTACTCCCAACGCTATTCATTGATTAGTATTAATGACTTAGCTGCACTCATTTCGTCCGAATAAAAATAATTGGATTTGCTTTCGAACCCTGGGCCTCGTTGTTTTATTTGACAATATCGTATGTAAAAATACATTAATATCCTTTTACGTTTAATCAACAATACCATCGTGTATATCTCAGACTTAATAGCTTATCTAATACGATAATTTGGAGTTTTATCAAAGTTTTAAAAAAAAAGAAATCAGAAAAAGCGAAACTATGCTGAGAAAAAAAAATTTGTATTGACGAATCATAATTTTTTTTTATTAATGAAATCAAAATTTTGAATAGTTGTAATGAATTATTTGTTCAGAATTAACATGGTAGCATTTTTATAGATTCAGTTCTGATAATTACTTGGAATAATTCATAGAAAAAATACATTTTTATTGTGTTCTTATTTTAATTAATTTTTTAAGTAATTATTAATTTTTTTATCAATGATTTTTATTATTTACTTTCAATTGTTTCACTATAATTATATTTTTACTATTTTGTCAAAATTTTCTACACACAATAATATAAAATCCTTTTTTTTAATTGATAATTTTATTAAATGCAATGAAATATTTTATTATAAATATTCCGAATTATTATTATTGATTTAATGAACATTTTTTTATATATCGAAATTTTTTTCTTAGTGTACAGAAAAAGTTCAACATAAAAATAGCCAATAAATGCACTAGAGACTCAAGGATATGATAGGAGAAAATATTTAAGATCTCTTCCGGTACTTGTTGAAGAAACATCGAGAGATAAAGTAATGGAAGAAGTGAATGAGAAAGAGGAAGGCTAGCAATTATCACGTGGTCATTGCAAACCGGTGTTATCGGGAGCTCGCGAACCCTTCTCGACGTCGGTTGCTTTGTCTGTAAGTGTAATTAGTCGAAGCAGCAGTAGAGTGGGAGAAAGAGGAGGAGAATGAGGTGGTTCATCTAAATCCTCTTCGCCCTCTCGTCCTCGGTCCCTGCGCCATTGCTCTCTTACACCCCTTTCGTTCTCTCCGTCCCCACCTTATTTATATGTAAATGAGCTTCATTTCACGATATTAATGTTTCACCCAAGTCGGTCGACTCGGCAAAAGGGTCCAAATATAAGTACACCGGGTTTTGTCTTTGGTCATATGTCTGCAGATATTCATACTTTTTTTTTATTGACACTCTTCCATTTATTCCTCTGTTTCAATCTTTTCTTCTCCTTCATAACAATTATTTCTTCCTCCTACTTTCCTTACAGAGTATCCTTTTAACAATAATTTTGAAACTCGAGACTTTGAAGAAAAAATTTTTATCGTCTCCATCATCAATTTCTCGTTAATAAGACACTAGTATAATTTGATTACTACGATCGAGGATTGTAAATATTAATAATTATTTATGCTCGGAAAAATGATTCACATAAAATTGTTTACGTCCCATACATAATCAATATAAGATCGTACATGTTTTATATAAATTTCAATTTCATTCGTTTTGAAAGCAAAGAAGGAATGTAAGAATGAATGAAATAAATTTAGAGGGATGAAATGGTTGAACAAAGTTAATTGGGAGATGACCAAAAAGTGAAACCAATTAACAAACAATGTTTGTTAAAAAGCGATCGAATATTCGTAATGGCCGTGTAATGCTTGCATACATATGTATAGACTTAGTCTTGGCACGTAGGTTGTGAGCCTACTATAGATAATGACCGATTTATCGCAACGAGTAGAGCGTGGCAGCGAGTAGACAGACCCCCATCAAGCTTCAGCGGGGTAAATTAACAACAGACAAGCCACTTGAAACATTACCGAGCTTTCCTATACTGGGCGAAGAGTGAGGCGGTAGGTAGGTGGGTGGGTTTTCGCCTGTTACCTTACTCAACATAAATTAGAACCGATAGAAAGGGTAGATTGTACAATGTTAACTATATACTCACTGACTGTGTATGAGACAATATTTATGTGCTTCGACTCTCATACGAGTCGTGAATCATCCTCTTACTGATACTTAACCAAGTCTTGTATTACGCGTCTTCCTTGTGAAACTCGATGCAATTAAGCTATATGATTAGGTATATTAGTCTATCATATGAAGATTATAATTAACAGGCACATGTACAATGATTAACTAAATTTAATCTCCAAGAAAATAACATAAATTATTAATTTAATGTTTAATGTTTTATGTTTTTCATTCGTTTTCATTTTAATTTAATACGATGGAGGTTTATTTTAATGCTGCATTTGCATAAAATTGATATTGAAATTAATGACTGTCGTCCTATTAAGAATACGAATCAGTTGAAAGAAATAAAGAAAATCAGGAATAATGAAGTTTCAGTTGAATTTAACTTTTAAATATTCCGCTCATTATATTCCAACATCGTTATTTCAGTAAATATAATTTAAGAACATCAGAAATCAATGTGGAACACTTGTCTTTGATTAATGAAACAGATGTAATTATATTTAGATGATGATGGAAAAAGTGTTTTTTTATTTATTAAAATGTAGGTAAAGTTTATTCATTTTGACGAATTTTAAAATAACTTTGCTTCTGAAAAAAATAAAGAATGATTTATGATGAATATGAAAAACAAATAATGTAATAATTAAACCAATATGTTGTAATATTTCTAGAAGAATAAGCATAGAAAAGGCAGGATATAAATTGGAGATATTCTTATATATGAGTATATAGTACGGTAGAATTATGAGCTGAGAGAATGCTGCACAAATCTATTTCTACCCTGTTGTTTAGGACGGGGTTATTCGAGGGTTGGAGAAAGGTCCAAGAGAATGAGGAGTGAGGAGTGGTGTTGGAGGATTGGAGGAGGGCTGGCCGATGTATGAATATACATGACCTTACTGCCAACCCTTACACCACAACGGAACTCTGCTTACATTATTGTATATCTAATTCCACTGACGGTTCTCAAATTCTCAGTGGACCAACTTGGAGGTGGTGAGGATGTCGCCTTTGCAAAGTGTCGAAGCACCCTGACAACCACTGTCGCTCTGCGATATTATGCAAGCAGTCTACATATTATACATTCGGACTGGGATTCAATTAAGTTCGGTTAGACCATTCCCTGTGCCCGGTGGAGGTGTTCCAAATCATGTCCCCAGCTACGGACTATAGACCCGGACTTTTGGGGCTGGCATTAACTGCGCGGAATACAAGATAACTTCTACAACACCCTTTGCTAAATCTTTCTCACTGAAAGTACTAGACAATTATTCTTTTTTTTTTTATCATAAATTAATTATTAATTAGTCATTACACAATTAAGTTTCTATCGATTTTTTTCTTGTTTATAAACTGATAGAAAAATTCAAGTACTGTTGATAAATGATTAATTGTTAACATGAATGTTTTATAACTGTTAATAAATATTTAAAAAATACAATACAATGTGAATTGTATTTAACCACTTTAAGTGTTTAGTTCCTTAACACTCGGATTTACAGTGTAAAAATTTAGCCAGATTAATTTTGTGTGACTCATGGGAGTTAATTACGTTTTGTACGAGTACACAAGCGTGTCTACTAAACTAAATCTTCCTATTTACCGTCAAATATTATTTTCAATAATTTTTCTTTATCATACATTAACCTTTATCTTCTTCTAAATCTAACCGAAATAACAAAAATAAAAAAAAGTGTGCTTTTTGATACAAAAATTTTTTT